CCAAGACTGAAATAGGAAGAGGTAGAAAATCTGAACAGACCAATAACAAGCGAGGAAATTGAAGCAGTAATCAAAAACCTCCCAAAAAACAAGAGTCCAGGGCCAGATGGCTTCCCTGGGGAATTCTACCAAACATTTAAATAAGAAATAATACCTATTCTACTGAAACTGTTTCAAAAAATAGAAATGGAAGGAAAACTTCCAAACTTGTTCTCTAAGGCCAGCATTACCTTGATCTCTTCTTTTGTAAAGTCTTTATCAGCTTTTGGTTTTAGGGTAATGCTCTCACAGAATGAATTTGGAAGATTTCTTTCCTCTTTTGTTTCTTGCGGTAGTTAGAGAAGAGACAGTATTAACTCTTTAAATGCTTGGTAGAATTCACCTGTGAAGCAGTCTGGGCCTGGACTTTTGGGGGGGAGTTTCTTGATAACTGTTTCAATTTCATTGCTGGTAACTGGTCTATTCAAACATTCTATTCCTGCTTCAGTTTTGGGAGTTACAGTTTTCTAGGAATTTATTGATTTCTTCCAGGTTGTCCAATTTGTGGCATATGATTCTTCATAATATTCTCTTACAATCGTTTGTATTTCTGTGCTGTCAGTTTTTATTTCTCCTTTTTCATTTGATTTTGTTTATTTGAGTCCTCTCTCTCTCTCTCTGTCTCTCTCTTTTTTATGAGTCTGGCTAGAAGTTTATCAATTCTGTTGATCTTTTCCAAGAACTAGCTCCAGGTTTCATTGATCTGTTCTATTGTTTTGTTTTGTTTTTTTTAGTTTGTATTTCATGTATTTCTGCTCTAATATTTATTATTTTCTTCCTTCTGCTGCTTTTTGTTTTGTTTGTTCTTTTTCTAGATCCTTTAGGTGTAAGGTTCGGTTGTTTATTTGGGATTTTTCTTGCTTCTTGAGATAGGCCTGCACTGCTATAAACTTCCCTCTTAGAACTACTTTGCTGCATTGCAAAGATTTTAGACTGTTGTGTTTTCATTTTCATTTGTCTCCATGTATTTTTTAATTTCCTCTTTGACTTTTTGGTTGACCCATTCATTTTCAGTAGCATGTTATTTAACCTTCATGTATTTGTGTTTTTCCACATTTTTTCTTGTAGTTGATTTCTAGTTTCATAGCACTGTGGTAGGAAAAGATGTATGGTATGATTTTGATCTTTTTTAATTTGCTGAGATTTGTTTTGTGGCCTAATATGTGATCTATTTTGGAGAATGTTCCATGTGCACTTGAAAAGAATGTGTATTCTGCTATTTTAGGATGGAATGTTCTGAATATATCTATTAGATTTATCAGGTCCAATGTGTCATTCAAAGCCTTGTTAATTTTCTGTTTGGATGATCTACTCATCCAAACAGAAAGTGGGGCATTAACATTCCCTATTATTACTGTATTACTAGCAATTACTTCCTTTATATTTGTGATGAGCTGCTTTATGTATTTGGGATCTCCCATATTTGGGTACATAAATATTTACAGTTGCTATATCTTCTTGTTGGATTGTTCCTTTTATAATTATATAGTGTCCTTCTTTGTCTCTTGTTACATTCTTTGTTTTAAAATCTAATTTGTCTGATATAAATATTGCTATCTTTTTTTTCACTTCTGTTTGCATGATAAATGCTTTTCCATTCCTTCCCACTTTCAATATGCGCGTGTCTTTAGGTCTGAAATGAGCATTACCTTGATCTTTTCTTTTGTAATGTCTTTATCTGCATTTTGTTACTTGTTTTATGATTGTTTTTGTAGTTCTTCTCTGTTCCTTTCTTCTCTTGCTTTATTCTCTCTCAGTTTGCTGGCTTTCTTTAGTGATATACATGGATTCCTTTCTCTTTATTTTTTGCATATCTATTACTGGTTTTTGATTTGTGGTTTGTGGTTACTATTAGGTTTGTATATAACATATTATGCATATAACAATCTATATTAAGTTGATGGTTGTTTATGTTTGAACCCATTCTTTACTCTTTTCTCCCTCACTTTTTAGGTATATGGTGTTATACTTTACATCCTTTTATTTTGTGAATCCCTTGACTGATTTTCATAGATATGATTGATTTTACTGCTTTTGTGTTTTCTCCTTTTCCTACTCCTACTTATGCTCTTTCCTTTCCATTCATCCTCTCTTGTAGGGCTGGTTTTGTGGTCATGAATTCCTTTAACTTTTGTTTGTTTAGGAAACTCTTTATCTCTCCTTCTAGTCTGAATGATAGCCTTGCTCGATAGCATATTCTTGGCTGCAGGGTTTTCTTTCCAAACTTTGAATATATCTATCTATCTATCTATCTATCTATCTATCTATCTATCTATCATCTATCTCTCATGCCAGTCTCTTCTAGCCTGCAAAGTTTCTGCTGAAAAATCAGCTGACAGCCTTATGGGGTTTCCCTTGTATGTAACTATTTTCTCTTGCTGCTTTTAAAATTCTCTCATTATCACTAATTTTGCCATTTTAATTATGATTTTAATTATGATGTGTCTTGGTGTGGACCTCCTTGGGTTGATTTTGCTGGGCGCTCTCTGTGTCTCCTTGATCTGGATTTCTGTTTCTTTCCCCAGATTCAGGAAATTTTCAGCTATTATTTCTTCAAATAAATTTCTTGTCCCCTCTTCTCTCCCCCTTCTGGAATCCCTATAATGTAAATCATTATGCTTGATGATGTTACTGAGTTCCCTAAGTCCTGTTCAGTTTGATTGCTTTCCATTACTCTGTCCTCTAGGTCACTGATCCTTTCTTTTACTTCCTCTAGTTAGAGTTTATTCCATCTAATGTATTTTTAATTTAAGTTATTGAGCTCTTCATCTCTGATTCATTCTTTTTTATGTTTTCTATCTCTTTGTTAAGGGTCTCAGTGAGGTTTTCCACTCTTTTCTCAAGTCCAGTGAGTATCTTTATCTTTATCACCATTACTTCAAATTCTTTATCAGGCATATTATTTATCTCTATTTCATTTAGGTCTCTTGCTGTCATTTTGTGCTGTTCTTTCAATTGGAACGTATTCCTCTGTCTCCTCATTTTGGTTATGGCTTTAATTTTACCCTCAAATAAAGTAAGATACCTCACTAAACTATGAAATGATTGTAACACTATAATTTTTACATTGTGTCTTTTTAGAGGACATGCCTGATATTTTTCAGCCCTGGGTTCTGGGCTCAATTCTTTTCTTGGGTGAGAAGTTAATGAGACACAGGACACAACCCTCAACCTTCAGAGGGTGAGCTCTGAGCCTGGACCCTGCTCTTGCAATAAGTAATTCCTCTCTCACTGCCATCTCCCCACAAAGGTTCTGAATTTATTTCAGTATGTGCTTAGTTCTTTCAGTCCTTGAAAGAGAGCCCACTTTGCTCTCACTAGTCTTATAAGAGGTTCCAATCCCAAACTCCAGTCCCAAACTTTAGTACTTGTAGCAGGTGCCACTCTCCCATACTGTTGTTAGAATTCCTTGAATTGACTCCCTATCTACCTACACTCCACCTACTGCTGAAAGTTACATCTTTGATGTTCTAACTGTTGTTCTCCACGTCTTCCCTTGCCTTTGGAGAGAACTTTCTGAAAGGTCTGTCTAGTATTGTTGTGTTATAATTAATACTGTTATTATTGGCAGACTCCATTTACCGATATAGACTTTGATCCTTCCATTAGCCTTCAAGATCTCTAAGAGAAGCAGGATTTTTTTTTTCCATTCTCTCAGGCCAAGGTTGACGGAGTGTTTGGTCCTGAATAAATAAATGAATATACAGGGAACTAACCACATACTAGGCATTACTGCACATGCTCTATACAACTGTAACTAGGTAACTCTACCAACACTACTTTTTAACAGAGGATACTGAGACGCAGATAAATTAACAGCTAACAAGATAAATTAGCAGATAAGTACAGTTAAGCAGATGAGCTAAGATTTACAACCCCGTCTGTCTGATTCCCAAACCAGCTCACTCTCCACAGTGCCATGATGTCTTACCTCCATGATTGGTTTTTCCTACTCTGGCCTATTTTGCTGATCATCACTGAGCCCTAGTTATGGCATTCTCACTGATTTGTTCGTTGTTTCTAAGAGAAGATAGTTTAAAAATATTTTATTGAATATATATTTATACATATACTATATTTATCCATCTATTAATCTTCTATCTATCATGATTCCTTCCACAGGGGCATTTAGAAAAAACACACTGCCCCAATATGTATTTGTACAGAATTGTACTTTTGAAAAAAAAAATTGAACATGCATTAGGCAATTCCTATTGGTGACCTGCATTCAGGTAATTTTTATGGGTTTTCTCATCATTCTACCTATAAGAATATCTGAAGTCATGAAATTTAAAGATATCTCACTATTTTAGGATTTTTTTGTAAGATCATAGGCCTTCTTCTCTAGGGAAATCAATAATAAATCTATTATCACCTGAACACCAAATATAATTTTTAAAGGACCTTTTTATCTGAAAGGTATTGCTAGCCATTTGTTCTCATCCAAATGACCTACTGACACAATTAGTAGCTATGTTTCAGTCCAGCAGAACCTTGAAAACAATTATAGGCTTTTGAGAAATAGTCTGCAATACAAAACTGCTGCTATTCTGAGGATGAGTAACAGCCTATTGTTCTTGAGTGGAAACATCAGATAATCTGGGACCATTTAATTTAAAGTTCATCTTTTCCCAATCTTTTCTATTCAAAACATATAAGCTTATTCAAGCTGACTTTTTGTATCATATGGTGCATTTTTACTAGAATTTAATTGTAATAATCTTATTTTTTAATGCATGACCTAGTTCTTTTAAATTCACATGCTGAAGAAAATAGAGAGAAGATAATATATGTGAAAATACAGTTGGAAATACATAGCTATGCTTCACACATCTGATGGCTAATTTAAACAGTGTTGAGAAGGGAATGTATTACATAGTAATTAAAGGAAGAAGGTTTTAATAAGGTATCTAATTTAGAAACTTTACTAGTTCTATTTCATAACCAACATCACAACTCACGTCCACAGGCTTGCCATCGGAAGCTCGTGCAGCAATAACAGTCCTTCCACGAAGGTCCACAGTGTCCTTTTCATCTATATGCCGGCTTGCAATTAAATTACAATCCATATAGAGTGAAATGCCCCGGGATTGTATACCAATGCCAAGTTTATGCCATTGACGATCAAACAAAGGACGGAGTTCTCGATTTTTAAAAATGTAGTTCAACACATCTCCCTCAGGAGCTCGGAACATAAATTCCACCACTTTCTTTCCACCATCAACTACTATAGAAACCTGCAAAAATGCAAATTAGCATTAAATGTTTTAAAACCAGTGTTCAAAATTACTAAAGCACACAAATTAAAAAATTAGAGATACATGTTGGTATAATTGAGGCACTTAGTAAAATGTTTTAGATGATATCTGTGTCTACCAGATTTGTTAATACAAAAGAACAGCAAATATCCAGCTACAAAAATGTTTTAAATATGGGGCATTCTGGTGAATGTAACATGTTCCTTTCTTGAGAGAACATCTGAGGGTATATATTTATATGTATGGGTATATCTAAGTATATATATATATATATAATTCTGTATGAGTAATTCAAGAATTAAATGTTACTTAATTTAAAAAGAATAAGAATAGGATCACTTCTCTTAGCATGGAAACTGAGATTGACTTCTTGAAACTCTGATGATTTGCATGGTGCAGAGAAAATGTCTTTTCATAAAGGATATACTCTTAGTTCAGTTCATCTTTCCATCATAAAATTGTGACTGTATTAACAGATTAAAAGACCAGTGAAATGAAAAACATCTCAGTGGATATGTATAGAAATAAACACAAATGTAAGGTGCCAATAAGTAATACTGAGGTTCATCTCCCCCCTCACCTGGAGTCCTTGCACGCTCATCTTTCTGCCCGTCATCTCTTGCACAAGTATTCCTGGTTCCTTCTCCCTGTGCCCCATTTTAGGAAGCTGCCCTTTCTATGCTCCCATAGTCCCCACCCAACTCTGAGCTTACCTCTACCACTGCACCTGTCACACTGTGATTATGCTCTAGTATATTGTTCTCCTAGATGTCATCCCCTTAGACCTTATGCTCCCTAAGAAAGGAATTACACTTTTAAAAATCTCTTCTCTTGGTCACTAACTCGTATGTAGCATGTGTTCATTAACTTTTTATTGATGGAATCAATATTTTTATCCCACCTCTTCACTCACGACAGACTTTCAAATGAAACAACGAATGAATTATTTAAAAATAATACATATCAGGAATGATAGGAGACAAAGAAGTTATTAGTGAGGTGGACTTAGTGTCAATGAAGCAGTTTTGAAAGAAGGGTCATTTGAGTGTCTTTAGACAAAATATGAATCATATTACAGATCTCAGCAGGATCATCCTAACTATGAGAATACTTGCATGTCCCTGTTGATGATTCCTCTAAACGAAAATCCAGATACTAGATCTGCTTCCAAATTTGTGCATACTGTGCCAAGATTCACCTGGCATAACCACATAGGAGAAAACTAATCAGCACAACTCTACAGTTCCTGACCTGTGGTATATTCTGTTGGTTTAAAACCTGCCACAGGAGCCACCGTTCCTTTTTGGTGCTTCTTCGTATTCGAAACATAGCTGCTATGGCGTACTCATCAGGAAGGCCTTTGGGAAATATCTTACTGGGGAAGGAAAACAAAGAATTATTGTGAGAACACTGAGGATGGTGAGGAAAGAAAATCTAGGTATGAAGTTCTTTGTAACACAATATTTCTTTCCAATCACAATAAAATAGAGTCTCTAAAATGGAATTTTCTCTATAAAGTCACCCTTACTAAACTAAATTTCACAATGACCATTACTGTACTGCTTTTTTTTTTTTTTAAGATTTTATTTATTTATTTGACAGAGAGAGCGAGGGGGCACAGGCGGGGGGAGCGGTGGGGGGAGGGGGAGAGGCAGGCCTCCCACCAAGCGGGGAGCCCGATGCGCGGCCCAATCCCAGGACCCTGAGATCATGACCTGAGCCGAGGGCAGACGCTTAACCATCTGAGCCACCCAGGCGCCCCTTTTATTATACTGCTTTAAGTAACATTGTTCATTAAAAAGCAAACAGAATGCTAATTCCACTTCCGGTCTGACTCTGGCGTCTTTGCTGAGAGTCACACTGAGCTGCGAGCTGCTTCAGGGGAGTCTTCAGGAGTCCGCACCGTGGCGGAAGACACCAAGTCCAAAATTAGGAACTTCCAAACTGTCTCTTTTGACCGCCGCTTCCCCCAACCAAAACCAGACCAAGAACGGCTGGCAGAACAGCGGACTTCCACGGCTAAAGGAAGTGATGTCTCCATGTGTGCATGGTACTGGCGTGTGGACGGTACTGGCGTGTGGACAAGTCCTTCTGCCCCATAGCCTGAATGTCAGCCTGGGACAACCACGGGGCAGAAGACACATCTCCTGGGAAGATCCGAACTGGCTCCCCCTACCTGTACTTTGTCTTCCATCCTTCTCCCAGGTTGGTGAAGGGGGACCTGGGTACATGGTGATCCCCACCCTGGGATCCTGAATATGGCTGAATTAATAACAAATCTTCATTGGAAAAGTATAAGACCTTGTATGTGTAAAAGAGCTGGATGGGCAGTCAAGAAACCAGGGTGGAAGTAGTACTTTGACCAGTAAGAAGGACTTCAGAGTGACGGTTTTTTTTCTATTTTGTTTTATGTTAGTAAACTGACCCCCCCTTCTCCATACCAGACAACAGAGTGAATGACTATATAAAATAGCCTCAAGACCCTGTATGTGCTAAAATGTATCTGTATGTTCCCCTTTGTTATCTATACAATTTCAAAAAATTTTTCTTATGTAATTTTTGAACTACATAAAAATATTATAATAAAAACTCTTGTGGGGGCACCTGGTTTATCAGTTGGTGAAGCATGGGAGTCTTGATCTCACGGTTGTGAGTCTGAGTCACACATTGGGTGTAGAGCTTACTTAAAAAATAAACAAACAAACAAAAACCTTCCTGTGTACCCAAATAAATAGATAACAAAATAATGTGGCTTTGATGCCTGCCATTTCTCTTTGGGACCACCTACAAACCTCAAGGTGAGCACAGGTATAGTTGAGAGGTGATGCCAAAACATAAACATCCAAATGACCATTTTGAACTAGTTAGTTGCATCCAAACTCCTTTTAAAAAGGAAACCTCAACCCACACAGCAGGTCCCCACTCCACCCCCACATGCAGTAATTTGTGTCTCCATCTTTCTTCTAATTTCCTGCCTCCTTTTCCCCACTCTCCACCTTCATGCTTTCGGAATCATATCTTTATTTCAAGTGTTCTGGAGTTTGACAATACTATTTCCTGGGATTTTGCTTCTACTCATTGTATTGAACACATCTTTGAATATGAATTGCACAGTACTGAAAAAAAAATTTGTAAGTTTTTATTATTTTTTCTATACAATCTTCCCTTATCCTCTCTTTCAGGAACTTGTTTTTTAGACAACCATTTAACACCTACCTTAACAGTCTATTCTACAATTCTACTTTCTGGGATATTTCCTTGATTTATTTTCCAATCCATCTATGCAACACCAATTTTTGTTATTTTCTTATTACCAGGATTCTCTTTTGTTCTTTTTTTAAAATTATCCTGAATGCAATATTTTTAAATCCCTGATAAAATCAATTAGGTGGGTTTTTTAATGTTTCTCTCTGCATCCTTGAATATCTTCATTTCATCCAGATTAGTGTTTCCTGTTTGATAGTTTGGCCTCTCTCTTCCATGCTGGAAGCTACACTCTGATTTCTGATGGTTTTTTATAATCCATATGTAATTAAGGATGAAGCACTGAACTTTGATTGCAAGCTTCATGTATGTGTCACAGTGTGTCGATGAACAACTTCACAGCATAGCATGATCAGCTGGCGGATTTCACTACAAGTCCCTCAAATGTGAATGTAGAAAGATTAGTTCTCGAAGGACATTCAGTTTCTCCAAAGAAGAATCTTTCTACGTCCCACTTGGTAAAGAGTATTCACCTGGATGCAGGCATTCTAGAAGCAGAGCGTGTATGTGGTGGTCCTACAGTTCGGTACAGAATTTTGCTTCATCCCTCTGTTTTTGGTGCCATGCCTCTTTCCTGCCTTCACTATCCTGCTTACCCTGCATCTGGAGGCTCTCTGGCTCAATTTCTCTCAATAATAAGTCTAATAAACCTCTCGCCTTTTGTCTGGTTGTATGAGGAAAAAAAGTACACTACACCCACACACACATCCCTCACCAGTTTCTGCAGAGGCTAGTTCCCCCAAAGTGATAAGTCTCTCAGGTGTCCCCTGAAGTCAACTGGCCCACATCTCACTAGTCAGCCCAGCAATACATAGGTTCTAACATCTTCCAACTGCTTTTTGTCTTCAAAGAATGTATTGTAATCTTTCTTTCTCTTTTGTTCCAACTCCCTTTCTACAGTCAATTTTGCATTTTAGAAGGTTAAAAGTCCTGTCAACTCTTCAACCTCTCCCTCTCCAATGCCCCTTTGATCTTGGTTTACAAACATATGCATATCCTACCCCTGCTACAAAACTTCCTTCAACCTTGCTACATCATTGTATCACCCTCTCAAATATTCACCAACCTTCTTACATGAATATCTTAATATCTGCATTGTTACTACCCACTTAGTCCTTAACTCTCTTGCATTCTAAAAGCATTTCCAATCAGCTAATCTACTGGCCCCTTCTCAATCCCCATTCCCCTCAATCCTTCTAAAGGTTTTAACACTGAAGATATCTTTTCCTCATTGATATAAACCAGAGGTCACAACCACAGGCCTATAGGACCCAGCCAGGAAACTGGAATGTAAGTTTCCTGAGGTTCGATGTCTATCCTATTCACCTTCTTGTTCCTGGCATCTAGAGCCGTGCCTGCACAAGGTGGGTACTCAATAAGTATTATTAAATGAACCAATTAGTGGACTGAATTCAGATATAAACTACCTAAAAAAAAAAATACAAAACAAAAACCACATGGCCCTCTCAGTCTAGCTTTGGGATTTCCCCTCTTGGATAGAAATATGCATATAAGAAAATTTCACTTTCCTCTTATGACTTTTATAAAACAAAACAAAACAGGGGCGCCTGGTTGGCTCAGTTGGTTAGGCGTCTGCCTTCTGCTCAGGTCATGATCCTGGGGTCCTGGGATTGAGCCCCGCATCGGGCTCCCTGCTCGGTGGGGACCTTCTCCCTCTCCCTCTGCCACTAACCCCTGCTTGTGCTCACTCTGTCAAATAAATAAATAAAATCTTAAACACACACACACACACACACACACACACACACAAAACAGAGGAAGTGAGTTAATAAGAGCAACCGACACCCATCCTTATGTACAGGTCACAAGTGTGACCTGGGGAAAAATAAGAGCCCAACCCATCTATAGGGGGCAGCTGCTGATTAGCTCCAGCCAATCGTTACCTTATGGGAATGTGGGCCCAGTGTTGCCAGATGATCCTATTTTTCAAGAGAAGCCAAATTACTCAGATTTTTATCTGAAAAGTTTAGAGTTTTCATTTTGTCAATCAACTCAGATTTTTTATAAACACTGTCCAGACCAACACTGTGCAAATGAAGCAAAAACAGTGACTGCTTATGTTGGCACACTTGATGTGACAAAGCAAAAAATCATGAAAACACCTTTCTTCTTACTAGTTAGGATTTTGGACATAAAGTCACCTGTCACATCTCTTCATGAGATTGCAAGCTTTTTGAAGGCAAGGAAGCATTTCATGTATCTTTGTATCATCCACAAAGCCCAAGTGCAGTGCCACCAGGGCACTCTATAACTGTTTGTTAAGTGAATGAGTGACCTAGCAAATGAAACGGATGCACTTAATTTTGATATAATTATTTAATATTTCATATTTTAAATAATTCATATTTCATAAATACAATTATTTTTCAAAAATTTACAATCTAATTCAAAATTGAAAATACATTTCATGAAAGGTTCCTTCTGTAACAAAAAATAATAAACCAAAATATTATTAATATTAATAATGTTAACATACAATAAATACAGTCTTAATACACTGAAGTAAATTCAGTTATGTTTACAGAAAAACTGATTTTTTCTTAGTCTAAGTTTATAATGGATAAAAATCCATATAATTACTGTATTTTCCTTTCAATAATTCTTGCTCTACTTTCAAAGCCAAAAATGATTTTGCTTGCCAAAATTGTAAATTTTGAAGGAAAATTTCTCTATTTTAAAAACAATATATTACAAAATGTATCAGCTCTTATAGACTATGTTTCTTGTTTATACCACACAAGGATACTTAATGTGACACAGAATAATTTCACTGGGTTTGCCAAAGTTTCTATTATAAAAGAGGTCATATTGGATTACTGGTCTGTTACCAGAGAGATATAATGACAGCTTGCTATGAGTAAGATATCCATGCTTGAATATTTTTGAATGGAGTGTAATTTCCTATAAGAAATTCTATCCACTGCTTATTCAGTGATATTCCCATTAAGAAAAATATTGTTGATCCTTACTTGCCAAACTAATTCATATATATATATATATGAATTATATATATATATATAATTCATATATATATATATGGCTAGAAATTACCATTGGGATATTTTCTACCTTCCCTCCATTTCATACACA